AATTTTCACTATTATAAGTGTATATTTATTCAAAACACATAAAAATATGTCTGAACAACAAAACGTCAAAATACTTCATTGTGTCAGTACAATCATTTGATTGTCATTTGACAGAACAAAAAACTAGAAAACTAGCAATTTCATAAAGGAATATTAGCATTATTAGATTATTCAAGCAATAAACTAGTAAATTAGCTAAAAACTAGTAAATTAGCTATAAACTAGAACTACTAGCATTGGTTTCTCTCCCCTAGTAAATAAGGGATATTGTCATCGATAAGCTAAAAAAATACAACAGAACGTGTGAATCGTTCGATGGGAACTAGTATCGTATATTCCCCATACAAATTAATTTTATCGATTCTACGAATACGACATCTGTTAAAAAAGATACCGATTTTTGTTACTACTGTTGCTTTGACACAGCTTGAGCAAACTATACGGCTATGGCTGTATTATAGACAAACTAATACAAAAGAACACACAGACTCCGATCCTGTGTATGCGTATGAGTCAGTGTATTCCTTTGTACGTTTACACGAGCTGTATTAAAACACCACTAGTAACAGAAATCGGCGAGTTTTTTAGTAGATGTCGTATTGGTGGAATCGATAAAGAAAAATCTACGATATTAGCGCTCATTGGAATCGTTGCGCCAAAAAATAGATCTTTTTTCTTCAAAATAATACTTCAACATGAAAATGATCTCAAGGAATATCGGAACAAGCAAAACTCACCCATAATATTTCAACATGCCAAATGATACCTATTATTGATAAAAAATACGATTTTTCATTCTAATTGATTCAGGTGATACATAGAATTAAGCAGAATTTGAGATTCGAAGAAAAAATATTTAATTATTTTTTTTTTTCAATTTTTCGCGATTTTACATCTACATCGGCGTTTGTATGAAAAACAGGAAAGACCGCTGAAATAGCACTTTTGTGGATCCTATTTTGCATTTTTATGTTAAAAAATCATTTTTGCTACAACAATTCACGTGTCAAATTCTAATTTTGAACTTGATGAGTAATCATCAGATTTAGAAGATTTGATAATTAAAACTACTCAACAATAAAAACAAGACACTCCCTTTTCATTTCATAAAAATTACGCTAGACAAGGTTATTGAGTTAATGTTGTTGTTCTTATGATTTACAAATGCACACCTCTATGAAAGTCATATTTATCATTGTGGGCCGCACATATTTTTTTTTCTTCTTAATTTTCAACTAATTACATATTATTTATATACATTAACATGCTCAAATGTAAATGCATTGACAACACGATGAGCTCTAAACGATTCCATTTTCAATTGATTTTTGGAAGGAATTTTCTGACGTCTGTAATGTCCTCAAATATCTATTTGTCTCTTCCATAATTTAATCATTGTTAAAAATCCATCGATAAAATCATAAAACTTGAAATTAAAAGGGCAAAACAAATTGGTAAAAAATTCCGTTTTCATCGAGGAACTACATCTCAAATGTATAAGACAAGATGAAAACAATAATCACCCTTTTTTTCAAATAATTAATTGGAGTTGCCTTGCATGCATTAGTCAAACTTTGTGCTTTGCAACAAACTGCTTCATCGCTGTTGAAAATATAATTAACACAGATAAGTAGATGTGGAGATCGTAGTTGAGATCAAACAATTGACATGCCTTGATGAAGTAATATCATCAATAGAAATCACTCCGATATTACAACATTATTAATATGTTAATTGGATGGGGTGTGTGCGCGCAATTATATGCTGTCACCTATTTGAGTGTTGTACACGAGGTGCGACCAAAAATTAAAATATATAAGATTAAAAAAACACTTGTTACCATGCTGTTGATTGATCTGCTGATAAATATACGCATTTAGAATTGTATTTCATACATGTAAAATGTACAAGCATTATGAAATTGTTACATCGACACATTCGGTTCAATGGTAAAACATTTTTTTTTCATGACATAATAATATTGAAATAGAAAATTATTAATTTCATGATATCATAACATATTAAATCCATAAATCATTTTCTATTTTCAAATCATTCAAACAAATTCATTGCAAGAGATGAAGCACGACCGCTATGTATGTCTCATTATAAGAGCTAATTATTATATTCTTAATCTTATTCATTTTTATATGCTGAGCAAACTCTTGAACTTTTAATCTAAATTGATATTTTGATTTGGTTTTTATTACGCAGCGTCGCTCGACGAGAAGGCTTAAGTTTGTTAGTTCTTTGTGCTATGAATACTGAACGAAAAGAGTGCACTTCAACGAAATCCAAACACAGTTCTTGTGAATATGTCTCGACGTTCGGATGAACCAATATATTCCATATTAAATTTTTAAAACGAAAAAAAAAAATACATACACATCTTGATCGATTGATCATTGCCATAAACGAAATGCCTGCACGCATCGAAGCAAGCATATGGGTATGATTTTGTTGATATTACTAGTTTGGCACTCGATTCGCCTTTTACTCACTTCTTTGGAATTTTCATCGTTGAATTGGAATTCGATGAATTTTTTTATCTTCGTTTGTCCACCACATACATCAAATGCGACGGGAAAAGATGAACACTAAGAATTAATTAATTCGATTCGAATTGAATTCTAATTATAGTGTTGAATATGGACCTGCATTCAAGTAAGGTATATTCTAAACATAAAAAAACACATGCAACTTCAAGGTAACGTATAATAGGTACGAACAAATGTGTTAATATCGTTCCTGCGACGCATATTAATTAGCTGTTGGAATTCACTATCAATCAGTGATTTACCTGCCACACAAATACGAGAATTATTGAAATGAATCTAGCCGCCGCGCATTAAACATTGTTCGGGCACATTAACAACAACAAAATACATGAAATTATAAAGATTTGACGACTGCATCGATAAATATGACACGAATCATCATTTAATATGCGTTTGATGTTTACTTTGCAATAAAAAAAAATCGTTGTTCTTTATATTTCTTTTGGTATTGTTTTTCAACACACTTTCGATTTGGCAATGCTGCTTTTCTATGGGTGACCGTGTGGAAGAGATACATTCTTAAGCACAAAATGGTTAAAGCGATTATAAATATTAAATATACAACAACCGATGTCGAATGGTAGAAATGAGGATGTCAATTCTTTTTGTTTAAGGTTTGGAACTCATTTGCCATTTTTGTATTTACCGAGAAATCATTTGGTGTTGAATGGCCTCTTTTAACGATCTCACTATTTTGCATACGGAATGTTCTCTTTAATATCCATTTCCAAGAAGTTTTCGGAGACCGTTGTTTTTGACATTCGGGTAAATGTAACTTAAGATTCAGTTGAATTCACTTCATTCTGAGAAGAATGGTTTTAAATGATTGTATAGTTCTCGTGAATTGCGCACACTACTGATATTCTACATTATCTGCTTTATAGTTGTGTTTCGTCTTTGTTCAATTCGAATCGATTAATACAGTAATTCAATTACATCGAATTCTCTTTGTCGGTTTTATTTAGTGGAAAAATATATTAAGTTTGTTTTTACAAAAACAAAGCATTGAAGAACAAACTGTTCACACCCACATACAAGAACTACGTTTTTTTCATCTTCATAATTTAACTCATTTATTATTGGTACAACATAAATTGGAATAAAAACAGAAAAACCACAAGCAATCGAATGTGATAAAATTACAGAGAAATGTTTGGTGAGGATTAAACGGCATCTCTCAAGTTGAAGATGTCAATAAATGCATTTCGTTTTTTTGCCGATGATTTGTTTGGTGAATAAATGATTTTGCATGGACAAAAATAACAGAGATTTTGATTGATTTTATGGATTTCGAATTACTGATGAAAATTTACCCGACTAACATTTAAATTCATTACGTCAATTCAGCAGAAGTGGATCGGATCAATGGAAGTGGAAAATTTATAACATCGAAAAATGTTAATTTTTGCATTGGTGTCCGAAAAATTACGGCTTGTAGCTATCCAGAATTGATCAAGAGGAGGATGACGATACAAGTTTATGTGTTTGGAAATAAATTCCCTCGTTAAAAACCAAGATCTTTTAAAACAAATAAGATAAAATTGATATTCCAGTTATAGTTTGTGTGCCACTGGGATGTCCTCCATGTTGATGTATATTTTCTGGTCGCCTTTCATTAGATTAAAATATCGTGTAAGCATATTTCATTTCTGTGTTCAATAAATTACTTTAGATGCCTGTGGATATGCGTGAACATTGAATAAAGCAGACAATATATTGAACTAACTGGTCATTTGAGCTGACAGTACGTTAGCCAGCCAAATGGACTTAAACAATACAAGTTATTGTTTTAATGATAAAAGTGATTCATCATTGAAACAATAACGTCTATTGTTTTAGCTCATTTAGCTGGCTAACGTACTGTCAGCTCAAGTGACCAGTTAATTCAATATATTGTCTGGAATAAAGGCTAAAGCACGCCAATATAAACGAGATTTTTGGTGAGATATTTCCCTAGATTTTTTTTCTTTCGATAAAACTATTTAAATTTGGCAAGTATTTTTTCACAAAATGGCCTTATCAAGTTTATCTTTTTTCGCTTTTTCTCCATTGGTAAGACATTCTATGACATACGTATAAATGGACTGCTAAGTAAAATTTCAGAATTTTAGAAGATTTAGAAAATGAAAAAAAAATTAAATGTTCAATTTCTTCTTGAAATTGATTGATTCAAAATTCAATGATAAATTAGTTTTAGAATTTAATTTCCCATTTCATATTGTAAACAAAAGTAATGGGAGGACAAATTCATCTATAGATGAATACAGTGATTAGATTCGTGCACAAAGTATTACAATGTGTAAGTGATTATTCTTATTTGGTGTGGTGTGGATTTTCTTTGACTTACCATTGCCAAACGACCTATAAAAAATTCTACTCTAGTAGACGAATGGTGTGTTGTCACTTTTCCATTAAAACCGTTCGAATAAAAAGAGGATGTTGTTTTAGTTTAATTTGTTGAAATCATGTTTTATTGTTCATTTAAAACTGTGTTTGTGTTGTCGTTTGACTGCCGTTTTCTTGACAACAAAACGTTTGTCGAAATGCTTTTCGGTAACGATGTGACATGACATTATAAATTATTGGATTAATTGTGCACGACATGTAATAAAAAACTCCAGCAATTGTGAATAAAAATTCATTAATTTGATCGTAGTTGTTCCAATCTTTGCCATAAATGAATACAAGTCGTTGCGCATGAAACGGAGCCCAGCTAATAAAAAATGTAACTACAATGCAATGCAACATGCGTATGACTCTCTTTTTCGATTTTAAATGTTTTGTTTTTGTTTTTGCATTTGATGATTCACCGAGCTGTCCATTGTTGCGATTTTCTTCACGACTATTTAGTTTGGATGCAATTTGCGTATACATTATGATTAGAATAACTAATGGAATGACAAAAAATATAAGCGTTGACATCTCATACAGTCCTTTGAAGCTTGTGTCCAACGTGCAAATTCCCGATTCAGGTATTTCAGGTCCGTTTGGTGGTGGATATCGAACGAAATGCACGTATCTATTCAATGCAACTGGTGTGGCACTTAAAAAGCTAAAAATCCAAATTAGAGCAATAACATAAACAACACGTTTTAAGTTGTCCATCACATATGAACACAATGGATGACAAATTGCAATGTAACGCTCAACAGAGAATGCAACAATCGTTAATACACTCGCATAAGTACACGAATCGGACAATAATGTACGGCATTTACAAAATTCCGAACTAAATGGCCAGGGATATTGATTCCAGAACATGTAAATTTCAAACGGCAGTCCGAGCAATAGATAAAGCAGGTCTGCTATCGCCAAATTGAACAAATAATAATTTGTGGTGGTGTGCATTGATCGATTACGAATTATTATGCTGCAAACCGTCAAGTTTCCAATAATTCCGGCCAACAAGATAAGCGTGTACGAAGTCGTTACCGGCATTGTTAACCACATGCTCGCAACATCATCGCCCCGTGAATAGAATAAAAATTCCTCTTTTGTACAATTGAACGATGTTAAATTGCTTGGATCGCATCGATCGTAAAATGACGGCATCACGGTTGTTGTCCCAGTATACGTGTTAGTTGATAAAATTTGAGCGGCAGCATCATCGGTCTCACAATTGTCCATTCCGTTGAAACAAATGATATCGTCATGCATCGTCTCGCTTTGTCTAGAATTTTGACAACAAAATAAACATATGTACATGTATTTTTATTTTCTAATCAGTCGATTCAAAAAAACACCACATAAAAAAGCACATTTTATTTACCCATTTACGAAGCAAACAGTGCGAATATGACATTTGCAATGAAGATGTTGTCCAAATCTAATTTGACAGCTCAAATCAACAACATTGCCGTTGTTCTTCTTTCTTCTTTATTTTTTTTTTCTCTCGCCGATCACTCTCTTCCTCTCTCTCTCGCACTCTCGCATGCTAATCAATGCACACGCACCAACGATTGACATTTGCACCGTATATTTCGATTGTATGTGTGTGCGTGCGCTCAACGTTATTTTTTTTAAATCGAATTGCAATTCGGTCGTTAAATTGTCAAATAAATAATTTGGTTAGCAACATTATTTGCATTTAACTCTTGTGATAAATCATAACAAATTTTCCTGTGCAAGTGACTTTATTGTCGTTAACAATAATGCAAGGCTACACTCCTACCGATGGTAAATGCAATAATAATGAAAAATGTGATATAGAAAATGTGCACATATGAAACGAATCGAAGCGTAAAAAGATGGAATATGGTAGTCAGAGCAAAATTTCCTAACAAGCACATCGATTGAAAAGCAATTATGCCAATTCAGTGGATACTGTGCAGAGAAGAGCATCGAATGTCTACAAATAAAGTAAAAATAATGCCCTGCAGTTACGAATAACGAATTCTATCCAGAACGCTTGCATCTCGGCACCATGAACACATCGGCAATTTTGAATAATACTTTCTGATTGTTTTGTGCTTTCGAGATAATCACCAACAGTCGGTATATTCACATCCACATAATGGTTTTGTTTGATCACAATTTATTCTCTTATTTTTTCAGGTAAAACACAAATTTAATTTAAAACCACAAACAAAACAAGTGCGATCTCCTCCATTCTCTATTGACACAATGTTGGCACAGCTCATGACTGAACCATGTTTAACTCAATCGCGTTCTAAAGATTAGACAGTTCATTCTTTTTTTTTCTTCATTCACACTAAATTCGAACATCTTGAAAGAGATAAAAAAAAAAATTAAGTAATTTGTTTGGAACATATCAATGCCCATAGCGCAGCTATATGAAAATAACGATTGCGTTAATTTCTTTGGTAATGCCTTCAGGTGAATATTGTGTAAATAATGCCGTCATTGCACTGCTCAATTCATTCCATTTTCTTCGTGCCATAAATATTCAGATTTATTTTATGCTAAACATAAGAATCCTTATGCTTTGAACATTGCCACGACTTATTTCACGGATGAATACAAGCGTATTATTTATGAGTTGTTTACCTAAAAGTCGTATACAAAAATAAATTTTCATTTATAAATTGGTCGGTGGAAAAAAGAAGAAGAGAGAAAACACTTCATTGCGTTGAAATAGCGATTATTTTTACTTTATTTATGACGCCATGGAATGCGAGTGGGAATTATGAGGATGTCGTTTGGTGATGCATTGATATCTTTCATTCAATGCACTCATCTATACTGAAACTGACAAAAAAAAACTGACAACACCAAATGCATAATGATTATTTTTTCGAATTCATATAAATGTTTGACAAATATTGAGTTTTAGTATAAACAAAATAAAATTGAATATATCAATTTACTTTTTGCGATATTTTTTATGCATTTGTTTTGAAGATAAATGTTGAAACAATGAAAGCGGCAGATTTTGTTCCAGAATCGATTCAGCAAATAATGAGTTTTGTCTCGCAGAGAAACTGAAATTATATGAAATTAATTTTTCACATCCACGAATATGTAATTCGCTTTACTATTTAAATTACATTGTTCCATGCATATCAGCCCGATTTAACCAGAAATTTATATCGTGACAATGTCTTTCAAAAGGAAATTTGTTCATCGTATATGTATGCAAATGCAACCAAAAATATTTACAAAAAAATCAACACGTTTTGATTGCATCGTATTCATTGTTATATCTTAATAATATTAGAGTGTTGGAGTTGTTACATTGAAATCAGAATATGAGAAAGTAATTCCTTCAAATGCAAAAATTACAGCAAATATTCAAAAGAGTAGTGGTATAATATTGACAAAATTTCTCAATTAAATCAAAGACTACAATTCAAACCAGTCAAGTTATATGCAAATTCCCTACTGAATGTGAAATAAATTTTAAGATGAAAAGTCGGCATGAAGAACGATCAATATGCAATTGAGCGTATGTATATATTTGATATGTAATTGGTTTTGTGATCAACAAGCAAAATGTCGGCAACAATTAACAATTTATGTGAACGCATAAGAAGAAATTTTCAAAATTACTATAACATCACACAGCATAAGCGTGGCTAGAAATCGATGTGGAGCACATTAAGGCGACTGGATCGATCCGCCAGCATGAAGGTGAGTGAACTATACGCTGTTTACATCGACAATATGGCACTGCATCGATGATCTAAACGAGTTTGGCCTGCAACGCACATGCGAAATATAAATCGATAGAAGAGTTATTGACTTTGGTTTCCAATACATTGAAAGAAAAACGCGCACGATGCCCTCTGCGTGAGAGGTCTGCGACTTCGTCACTATTGCCGTTCTTCAACTCATTCGAAAATTCGCTTTCGCTCTATGTTGTTTGCGTACACCTCTATAATGTAGCTGAGACGTTCAGATCAAAACTTATTTGTTTTTGCATATGTTGCACAGTCAACCAATGAAATTGAACCAATGATCCGAATTCATTCTTTCTTTTTGCTCACTTCATCGTTCAATTGATGCTCTTTTTTTCTTTAATTCAGTGATATTTAAACTTAGGTGATAAATTCTTTCTTTTTTTTTCAAGTATTACAAATTCACTTTGATTTAATGTTCCAACATATATGCTATCAGCATGCATAAACAAAATCATTGAAAAAACCATTTTATGTGACATTCTATTGAAATGAAGAAAAGTCCAAAATCTATCATAAGATACTGATTTCGCAGATGAATAGCAAACCTTAGTCAAAATGGCAATGTAAATCTCGCATCGCATTTGCAGCTCAATACCAACATTGCACTAAATCACGCTATTGCGTGCCAAATGCCAATATTTATTTATTTTTACTTCAAAGTGCTTCATTGATTTTCGTTTTACATTCATTGACCGTTATAAAGACATCGTAAGTAAATATTTCAAAATCTATCGTAAATAAATTAATACCAATGAATTGACAAAAATCAGAATAAATCATCCAACTGTTTGAAATTTAAATCGGATAGACGGACAATCTTTAAAGCGTGTGCTTCTTTTCTCTTCCAAAGCAGCGATGATCATATATCTCTTCTGTAACATGCTTTAGCCATAAATAATGATCAAAATGTATTTTTTTTTTTCAACAAATCATAACTTTTCTTTTCATTGTCAAATGTTTTAACGATAGAACGCTGTTGAACACTTGAATCGGCAGAATATAATATCACCAAAGGAAATTCAATTTCAATTCCTTACAACATTTTTGCAGGAACTCAGCTTCATCTTTCTATTTTTATATATTCTCAAATCTAGTAAATACATATATGTACAAATAAAACAGAATCCAAAAATATGCATATCATGAGATAAAGCAGCAGCATCAAATGCTTTAATCACATACATTTGTTATCATTATCAATGTTTGCTGTGTGTATATCAAGAAAATGCCAACATGCCATTATAATATGAATATTGAATACAACACATAAAATTAACACAACAGAATAGATTCTACAAACTCATCTTTATTTCGCACATTCATTCAATGTTTGTTTTGCACTTTGTAACTGCCATCTTGATCAATGCATCTAATTTTCCTTGCGTAATGGTACAATTTTTTTTCTTCTAAGAATGTCATTTAAACTCTCTTTCCCTCTTCCCCTTTTCTTCTCTTTCACTGTTTCCTTCTCTCTTTCCCTCTCTCTCTTCTCCAGTTAATTGACATGATGAATCTCCAGCCAGGACAAATGGCATTAAAATAAAATGCAATAATATTATCGCCACTTTTGATTTTAATAAAATACAACGCTCACATCAATAAAGAATATAAATCAAAATGGTACGAATAACAAAATTGCCATTTCATATAATTGAATAATAAGATATTTTATGTTAACAGCAAGTATTCATTCGAATTTGATGTCATCGTTATGAAATAAGTAAGTAAACTTCACTGTTTTTATGGCTAAAAGTGTAAGAAAATCTATTCAAATCTGTTGAAATAGAATTATTCGAATTAAAAAAAGACATAAAAACTCTTTAAACATTATGTGCCGTAACAGAATTGAATGTGGTTTTTATGTAAACAAGTACAATCTTTATGAAATTTTAATTAGCATTGATAAGAGGATTAATAAATGCATTCTCTTTGTAAAAATCGGCTAATGGCGCCAAATTCAAAAATTAAAAACCCCATTTTCAAAAACCTAATATTTCGGTCTCAATTTCAACTTTTACTTTGCATTTCGTGCATGTACTTATTAGTGTTATTTGGTTTAAATGCATGCAGCCTGCTTCATATATATATCTAAAATGAAAAACAAAATGTTTACTAGCAGACATCGGATTCTTTGATGTACTTATGTGCTGCATATAACCTTGACATTTGACGTAAACGAGATATGAACATGTAGTGACACCTATATATAAAATTTGAAAGCAAACAGAAAAAGAGTTCTGTGCTATCGACGAAAAACATAAAATCGGTCATTATCTGCAAAACAATATAGACTTTTTAAATTAATTTACAAAGTAGAAAACAAAAAAATGTTAATTTTTTCACAATCTTTATTATGGATTAAAATCAATTTCTTCGTGCTTTTTTTTCTTAAATTTGACTTTCACCATTTTATGTTTCGTTGACTCTTCAGAATATATTTGAATTTCAAGTGAAAAATAGAAATATATTTTTAAACTTACATCGCATTTGTACAGATAAAATTTGTCAGCAATTTTACTTAAAGAATATTGTTATTTGTTTTAAAGAATGTTTCCATTTGTATTTCTCTTACAACTTGAAAGAGAGAGTAAAGTAAGGAATTTTAGAAAATAACAAGATGTTATTCATTATTATTTCTTCATTAACTTTCTCTTAGATAAATAACGTTCTTAGTTTTTAAATAGTTAATAGGTAAGTTTTTTTTATACATTGAGTTGAAGTTGCTTGAATCATTTTCGAAACACAAAATGACATCATAATTTAATCATTGCGTTTGATACAATAAAATATACATTTTTAAATAATTACCACAATAAAAACCGAATACGTTTTCTCTGGTGGCTTATTTATAAAATATTAATTTTGATTTTGTGATTTATTACATATCCTCAAGATGTATGCTCCAAAATACATTTTACAATGGTTTTTCGTTTAAATTGGGTAAATTGTTGTTTAAACATATATTTTGATTTTTTTGTGTATTCTTCAGCGATTTCAAATAAATATTAAAAGTCGAACATTAAAATGGATTTATTCAAAAAAAAATCGTATGAAAGTAACTGAACAACAATTTGAGATTTTCGCTTAAAGGGCAAAAACTGAAAAATAACTCGATTGAGAAAAAAGGATTTAGGTATAATTTTTGCATTATTGATTTTTTTTTTTTCAGAAAGAAAAAATATAATGAAGGTATGTGTTCTCCTCGCTGGCGTCAATGTACTACAATGGTAATTCGTTTGAATAGCATGAACACTTGAGCCTAAATCGCTCATGAATATATAAATCTATAATTAAAATTGGTCTATAGTATAGTAATGAGCTATGATTCATATAATTTAACGGTTTTGAATTTGTTTGGAAACATTCAAGTGTACATGAGTGTTTATCCAAGAATAACATGGATTTTAAAATCTTATACTAAATTTATGTGTGATTTGTTGCTGAATTTTATCAATTCAATACTGCTGTATGGATGTGTGCGCGAATATTGAGTACAATTCGGTTGAGTGATGTTTCATTCACGATTGATGTAGCCGTTGATTGTGCCAAAGTACTTTGTTCAGACAAAAGTCATGACCACAATCCACGATCAACAAAAATGTGAAAAAAATCATTGTCTCATTTGAACTTGTATATTGAATTTTATTTTATTTTTTTTGTTATAAATTAATACAGTATTACACATTGTAGTCATTCAATTAGTTTGACATTGGAGAAAATTCGAAAAATGTTTTCTATTATTTTAACATAATATACATGTATGTTTTGGAATGGATACCAATTTTTGGAGGTCACGCACATGTGTTCTTTTTCGGTTCATAGCTTATTTAATTCATTGAATTGGATTTATTCAAATGGCAAATTTACTGTTGCTATAAAATATCCAATGTATTGTTCTTTGATTTTGTTTAATCTTATTGTTTTTAATCTTACAGCGGTTCAGTAAACGGTTCCCTTTCTTCTTATTTTTTTTTACTAAATAATTTACATCAATTAATCATCACCATCACTGTCGTCCGATGATGAGTATATTCGCTTACCGCTACGTCGTTTTCGGTATTTTTTTCTTGGTGTTAAGGAAGGACCATCATTGTTTGCCGGACGTTTTGTTCGAATTCGTGACGAACAAACATACTCTTCATGGCTAGATGATTCAACATTTGAACTATCCTGAGATTTCGACGAAGACGATGATGAAGACTGAAAATGAACGACAAAAAAAAAGATATACGTAAAATATTTTGCATTTAAAATATGATTTTTAAATGTTATGGGTTCTATTTACATCTGGATCTGTGGATCCATCTCTGTCAGTATCATCTGATGAGGTTGATTCGTAGATGCGATTTCCACGTGATATTTTAATGGTCGTGGTGAGACGTGGTCGCACTGGTGAATTGTGTTGCTTCGTAGATGCTGCTGAACATTGAAAGACATAAAAGATGAATAATTGAATGTGATATTTTTATATATAAATGAATTTAAAATGACATAAGAATGATTTTGTATATTTACATCTTGGTGATATGCGGCGGGAGTGTTCATCTGGTGCTTGAATGAGCCATTGTAACATTGTTTCGGATGTCGATGGTTTTGCTTCATATAAATTTGCAGCCGCATTTTGGCTGGCATATGTTGTTGAATTGGTGTCGGTTGCATTTAGACTTCGTTTTCCTATGTGTGCCGATATTGCGTTTATAAAAGATTTTGCTTCCAAACGACTGTTACCTAGATCCAACATTGGCGTTTGACACGTTTCGCTTGAAACAAATACAACATCACTATCGGAATCTGAATTCAATTCAACATATTCGGGTGTTCGTAGGTGTGGTGGTTTTTTGGCGCATACAAATAAACATTCATCACTATCGCTACCATTGTCCGCATCGATGACTTCTTGTGTTGATTTGGTTTGTGTGTTTGGTTCGACTTTTGGTGTAATTTCTGGAACATCAACCGTTGTTGTATTGTTTGCTTGGCTGGTTGACGCTTCATTCGAATGTACATTATTTGGTGCTATAATAATAGTCCGTTCACTATCGACATCACTTTTTTCATTGTTAGTAATATTTGAAGGCGTACCGTTGGCATTATTTGGTGATGGGCCTGTTCTACCCCTGATCACCTCATCGGCCGGAACATTTGGTTTATCTCGTAAATAATTTTTAATTTCTTCTTCCTCCGAATCGTCACCAGATAAATTTTCAATTGACTGAGTTTGTTGTGTTTGATGTGCGGTCGTTGCACTACTTGTACCACTTGTACTAGCACCAGGCTGTTCAACAAAGTCATTTCTATTGCTTCTACTATCGTCTTGTTCGTTGTTATTGTCGTTGACAATTTCAATTGGTGCAACATTTGTGACATTATTATTATTATTATTGGATGCTTCAACTTCAACAACTGGACCAACAAACTCCACATCGCTACCTTCCTCCGAACTTGACAATGTGACCACATCATTATTATCAGACTCAAAACGTGGTAAATATGTAACAAATCGATCGTAACCAATTAAATCATATGGTGACCGTGCAAAATTAGTTAGTTCATGAATAAAGTGTTCGGTGTGGGTCGGCACCAAAATTCGAATACGGCTCAGGAACTCAAATGAGGTCATGTCGTACGTTTGAATCAAATGTTCAATTCTTTGCACTAAGTAACTAACTGGTTGAGGTTGATCGGGATTGAAGCACGTGAGTTCACGATGAAGCCACGGCATTAATCGGTGCATTTGAGCCTGATTCGATCTGTAATAAATAACATTTCAATTAGATTCGAATACAAAGCAATTTATAAATTACTTACCTATAAAATTCAGCTGAGATATCTCGAGTTGCACCATTCAATTCAGTCAATGGTTCAGCGTATAATCGTCGAGTGTATATATATTGTCGCCATTGAATACCGCTAAATCGTGCTGGATATACTTCATCCGGATAGGTTTGGGCAAAACGTTGAATCAATGGCGAATCATCATGTCGGAATAATTGGAATAAACGACGCCGGCTATCATCTGCACCGCGAAGCAAATGCTCAGGACGATGCATTCTGTAAAAGAGTTTTTTTTACACATATGTATAGAAAATTTGACAAACAACATAAACACATAAACAAAATGACAACAATTGATAATTTCATTCTTACTGATATGTGGTTGGTAAACTGGCTGAAAATAATAAATTCATATCAACCTCGGCCGTTTGAAATGGAAGATTAATCCAATTGACATGACGCTGTTGTGCCTCTACCTTGTACTCCTCAAAATTGTGTTCAGATGTAACATTGTGTATGATTGACTTGAATGTTTGCTTACACAATGGACATTCGGGTTTCACCTATTAAAATGACACAATGACACAGTAAATTAATAAATATTTCAAAATCGTAAATTGATCGATAAAATAGATGCCTTCATACCTTGCTCCATTCGAGTAAACAGCTAAAGCAAAATTGATGCATACAATTGTCGGTGAAACATTTACTCTTAATGCGGCCTAAACAAATTGAACAATTTGGTGGTGGTGAACGGTTTGCCAGTTGACGTTGTTGATCATCACTGCTATTTCCTGAATCGACTGCCGATCCACTGGGCGATCGATATTCATGTTGCTTCTTAAGAAACTCACGGATTCGTGAATTTTTTTGTGGTTCGTCCGGCGTGGGACATTCTATAACTACTTCTGCCATTTCTTTGTTTTTTTTTTTTTTTTTGTTAAATTAACAACTATTTGTGTGCTTGTTTATACCAAATTTTGTTTCGATTGTTTATGTAAGTGATATATCACTATTTTTCATATTCGGAGATCAGCAGATATCTATTCTGCACGTACTAAAATATTCATGCGAAATGTAAATAAAGTTTATCAATTGGTACATTCATTCATACGAGCATAGTATGCGTAAAAATTATTCGCAATAATGCAAATGTTTAATCGAACGATTATTCACAATAATAACAGTTAATTCTTTTCGAAATTGTCTATTGAACTTGAATGCTACAAAACTTTGTGAGCAATTTGTTGCAAATACGATTATATCAACACAGTCAATCAATGAATTTGTTGGTTTATGGTATCATTTGCAAAGTTTTTTTTATATTCACATATTTGGTCATTTCAAGAACCCATGACAAACACTATGATTTTGTTGTTCCATGTTGAATTTCGATAAAAAATTTAATATTGAAATTATAAATTTAACTTTGCTTTTGTCTTTTTTTCCATTCATTCACTTTTATTTGCTTGAATTTACGGTATGTATTTGATTTTTCGTCACACAACACACGAACTCAATGTAACAAAACGCCATTTTATTGTAATAGTACTATCTGCAGTGTATATGTACTGGATTGCTAGATGGTAAATATTTTGTGTGTTTTCTACACACAACTTGACACAATTGATTTATTTTCCTGTTTCTGTGTATCCGCTTTCACATGTCTTTCAATTAAACGTCAGTTTGTTGGTATTATTTTGATTCAATACTAACGCAAACGTTTTTTATTTCTTATGCTGTCGTTTCGGTAATTTTAATTATAGAAAAGAAACACAATTTAAAATGCTCTCCAATTCATTTTCACCATATGAATTTTACAATTTCTATGAAAAATCTTATAAATTATAGTCGTTGAATATCATACGCACGCGAATTTCGATGTTGTGTACCAGGCTTTTCATTTACACTTCAGCACATTTTGGTGTGTATGCAAGCGGTTTGACACATACAATTCATTTGTTGTGACATCGCAGCTCCATCTGTCGTACAAACTGGTTATTTACATTAAAAAAAATATTATCGACAAAAACGAATCGGTTTGTAGTCACTTTATTTAATGGAATTAAAAAAAAATACATTGGAAAATCAATTTCGTTATATTTTTGACCATGCATCGAAATTAATATTGGTTGACGGTTTCATTCATAATAATTGTTTCATAAGTGAAACGATTCCGTTTATATTGTAACCATTGAACGCATATTGTGTACTAAAATCGCAGACTGAACATATCATATGTTTATGTATGATTCAAAATAAACGAAGACATTGTCGTAACATGTGTTGATACTAGCCGTCGTCGCATATGTGCACAAACACATAGCAATACACATTCTGAGCCATATTCATTTTTCATTTGAATCGGCAGCAATTCCTCGAAAAATTTACATTTGACCGTCAGTTTCTAATGTGCATTTTGGTTACTTTCTACGCAATATGCTAATTTTTGTGTGGTGATAATTTTTCAAAAAAACCGAAAAATTTCCTTCAAACAATTGACATTTTCAACTCTTTAGCGCACTCATAATTCTTTCAATTGAAATATTTAAAAGAAAAGTGCCAAAAATTTAGTGAGAAAAATACAGGAATAAGGATAAGTTAATATTACATAAAAAAAAATATCGAATAAATAGTTTGAAATACAAAATGTCCGGTGACGTGCAGCCTAGGAAACGAAACAAAGATAAGAAGAGGCGCCGAGGTAATGAAATAAATGACAAAAACATTATAAATATATATTTTTTTTGCATCGAAATCCTTTAAGTTTTTCTTTTTTTAATTACATACACCAATTAAATGTGATTTTGAATTGACAACGATTTCGTGAACTTTTCCGCTAAATATTGGCATCCCATCTGCATGTTATTGCTCTTATCAGTTTGTATCCTCTCTTTTAATCTCAATAAATGACAGTTGGAAACGAATCAAATTCAAATAATGTTTTCCAAAACAATGACTGAACAGACAAAAAAAATATGTCCCCAAATCAAATACCGAAATAAAAAAAAGTTTTTTGCACCGTTAAAAACGAAGAATCTATAAATAATAATTGAAGACAACAAAGAAAAAAATGTGTGAAATTCGGGAAACGACGTAATTTCAGGATTGTGCGCAATTTTTTTTTGTTTGATAATTTTTGACCGGGATACTCCACAATCAAAAGCAAAATACCATTTCATTTATTCATAAATGCGTTTTAAGTTTCCAATGGGAATAATGCCCAGTTTAAAGCAGAATCACGATATTTCTGCAATTTTACATTTATTTTTCTTTTATTTTAACGCCTGGCACAACGTACATACGATGAATATACGATATTTGACTTCATATTTTCATTTCAATTGGTCTTTGTTTTGTGTTTCGGTTTTATTTCTCTCTCTCACTCAGATCGTCCGATCACTCGGCGGTGATCGCACTCATTACCTTCGAACAAATAATATTACATATATTAATAATACGCACATATGTAGATCACACGCTCTATTTTATTTATAAATAAAAAGAAGTTGAACGCCGAATAGTTTTTACTCGTCCATTTACATATTTTGACTGACACTTGTGGTAGTGCATCAAACATTGTAAAACGGCTTTTTTTGGTCACTGACAACACATTACTCGATACCGTCATATGAATAACAATTGATTTTATCGATCATTGCCAATGGTCAAATAATTGCCGTGTTTACAATTAACACCTCGTAAAATTGTAAGCATTTTGTATTTCGATAGAAATGTAATGATTTTAAAATTCATTACGCTAGTTGCGACTTTTAATGTTTTGAATCGGTTTTATTGTTGTTGTTGGTTTAGTCGCGTTTCATACTGTTTTTTGTTTCTTTTGCAAAAGCTGAACGTGAAAGAACGACGACAGATCCATTCAAAGCTATTTTTGGCTTCCGTAAATATCTACAGTGAATTTTCCTTTCCTATCTCAATATGAGTGAGTATGAAAAGAAATCTACGTTACATTTTTTTGGTTATGATGAGAAATTGACATAGACCGCGTAATACGATCATTTTGCTCTTTACTGACGGCTGATATTTTTTTGTTCAAATATCACAAATACTTGTCTGAGAACTAGACTTTGAACATATTCTGAGTAGATCAAAATTATTTTTGAAAAACAAAAAACAATTCAATAGCAACATTCGTTCCCTGAATATTATTTTTTTCTTAAGGGCACTAAGCGTAAAATAGATATTAGCTAGCGTTTGAACGACAAACTCATTTGCTTGAAAATGAAATACAACGTATCCAATTACTAAACTAGACCTCATTTGATTTGAAGCCTTCCTTTTTTTCAATAAATAAATATTTTATCTTTTTATATCTATATTCTACATATCGATAAAAATTATTTGATGGTTTTTCTATAGAAGATTCAGATGTTGGGCGTGCATCATTCGAATATAGAAAATTGAGCATGAAAGGTTAGACCGTCTCAATGAATTTTCATCATATATTCAAATTGGCGTATCAATTGGACACATTTTTCTTTACAATTTTTTTTTATTGAAATTCAATTTTTAATATATTTTTAATTACAATTGTATCGATTTAAAATTAAATGAAAATATTTAATGCCAAAATAAATTCTAGATGACGACGAAACACGACCGGCTGGTGTTCATGCAACAAAAATGGGGCCCGATGATATTCAATTGCATGTACACTCAGATCATGGAACTGGAGGTCATTGGTGTGCGAAAATCTTCTTCTTCTCACTATTAGCAATATTGTTGGGTTTAATTGGATTGATTTTGTTGGAAAATCGGGGACTTTCGGATTGTAAGTTGTGATTGATCATTTGATTAAAATTTAAGTTGATTGTTTTTTTTTTTTGTTATTCAAAACTTCGCCATCAGTGGACACTCCGTTGTCTGAATCACGTTTTGCAGACATGTTAGAGGGATGGGTAGATGAAGAGCGGGAAGTACATGATGAACATGATACTCATGCACCCGACGAACATGGCGATGATCATGAAAATGATGACGAGCACGATCAAGATGATGATGGTTTGGCCAATAACGATGATCATGATGAAGGTATTTCGATTACAGTTTTAAAATTCGTATTTTATTATGATTTTTTGTTTATATTATCATCAGATGGCACAGCCAATGAATTGACAAAAGATGATCCTGATGATAAAAACGATGAAAAAGACGAAGGGTTTGAAGATGCCAATGATGATGATGACGACGACGATGAAGGGAACGATGACAATGATGATGAGGTAATATTTCTTAATTAAACCAATTGTGACCGTCTGAACTACTTGTTGCCTGTTCTGTGACATTTGCAGACAGAAATTGAAATTACTTTTTATAATTTATGAGAAAAAATATTACAAGGATTTTTCAAAATACTCGAAAAGTTCAGAACAGACTAACGGTTTTTTTCGATACATTAACTCTGTTTGTATTTGTTTTTTTTTGTTTGTTGATCATGTCTTAATACTTAAAGCAGTCCAATTCACTTCCAAAACTGTCCATATTAACAAATGACACTGCTAACAATCATGACAATACTAAAATAAATACTGAAAGTATTGGCATAGTAAAACGGTCCATTGATAATAATGTTAAATTGAATGAAGATAACCAAAGTGATCCGGTCAATATAACAGTGACTCAGCTTAAGCAACAAGTGGACGTCTTAGTTGAAAATTATAACAAACTAGCCAAAACATTGAATCGGCCACAATTACATGAAACTAACAGAAAATCGGTATGTCCCACATTTTTTTTGCTTGCATGTCTGTTTTTTTTGTGTGTGAAAATAAACGAGAATTTAGATATTTTTCAAGAAATTAAATTAAAGTGAAAATGGAATGATGCCCAATGATATTTGAGATTATTTGAACTCTTGCTGTTTTATTTACGGTATCAAGTATAAAATCAATTCGGTTTATAGGATGGAGATGATGGCGAGGATAAGAGTCAAGAAGATGACGAGGTTGAAAAGCCATTAGAGACTGAAGACGATGACGAGAATGACGATGATGACGATGATAATGATGATAACGATGACACAAATAATGATGTAAGCAAAGAATTTATTTCTATTTCATGTCTATAGGGAATCATTTCAGTATCTGTAAATAAAGTGAAAGTTCCCGATATATATTATTATTATATAACTTATCACTTTACTACTTTTCTATTTGCAGAATAATGATGATAATGATGAAGGAATAGTGACAGGAGACCAACAGGTTAGTATAGTTAATAGACATTATATTGAGATATTTTTAGCGAGATGAATCAGCTCAGGCAGCTATCATCAAGCGCTGAAATGTAGTAGAAACAATAGAATTGATTGTTATAGTAATGGCCACAATGGAAGTATTTTTATAACTGTAGCAATCATTTTCATTGTTTTCACTACATTTCAGCTCCTGACGACAGGGGCGTCTACAGGGGAGGGCAGGGGCAGTTGCCCATCCCCTAAAGATGAGATGTCCTCTTTTTTGAGGAAGGAAAGTTATTCGAATTTGCTAGGTTTTTTCACCGAAAAGGTGAAGACCTTTTTTTACCTCTTCATTTTCAATCAAAAATATTTTCGAAAAATTTCCCCTTTTTTTATTTGCCTTGCACACATCATATTCGTGATTCATATTGTAAGATTCCGCGCATTACGTTCAAGAGAAAAAGAAAGAAATTTGAATACCTTCGCACATAGTTGGTAAAATAAATCATGTTCATTTCAAATGGAAAGGATGCTTTCAAATATTATACCAACAAAAATTATTTAGAATATATCAAATATTGTTGAAGTTGTATATAATTTGAAAAATGTCTCTACATTCAGGATGACAATGATCTAGATGATGATTCCGAAAATGAGATCGAGAATCAAGATGACGTTGACGATACTCCTGACGTTGATGAACCACAAACTACAGATGATGATGGAAACGACATAGATCAACCAGAAAATCAACCAGATCAAGAAACAGAAGAAGAGTCTAGTTCACGTAAGTAATGGGTGATATATTTAAGACGTAAAAAGAGATTTTGTTGAATTATTTATGTAATTTTGGTGATAAGACAAAAAAAAAAACGTACAAATTATATATAGACAAATCCCATTGTACGGAAACAGATGATTTATTTTGGACTTAGGCACTATTGAACTAATTAATTGTTTTGCACAATTAATCGAAGAAAAATATTAGTGAATAGAGTTAAGTAGTAAGAATTAATAACAAAAAATAAATCACATAAATATTCCAGTTGCTGTAAGAATCATTGTTGGCTTGGCCCTAGTATTGGTTGCACATCAAGTGCTAATCAAACGTCCGCAAATGAGTGAGTTAAAATGGAATTTATCCATTGCCATCGATTCATGTGCTGATTTTCATATTGAATGTTCATAATTGATCCGAGCACATTCAACTGTTTTTGAATTTTCTGTGGATTTTTTTTTGTTGGAAGCAATGAACATGGTCTGTGAATCATGTGAATAACAATTTGATTGCATGCAATTAAAATTTGTGTTTTATTCACCTTTGCTTTGTAGTTGCAAAACTTTCGATAAAAGAGTGTGTTCAGTGAATGCCCTAACTCAAGCGTTAATCGAGTCAACTAGCTGATGATGACGTAGATTTTAATTGCATTTCCATTTTAATTCTAATGTATTTTGCATTTTCAAACTAATGTGCCAAAATCCGATGTGAATGATATAAGTAGTACACAAATGCACCAAAAATAACAACTGACATTTGATCGTCAATTTGAAAACGAGTTGGAAAAAATGCTTTTGTTGGTCGTTGAATAATTTGAGTTCGGAATTAAGCTTGAATCATGATCATGATAAAATTGTTTCGCAAACGGCTTCACTCAGATAGAATTTATAACAAAAGTGGCTTATCCTTACACTATATCAAGATACTGATGATGAACCGAAACCAACAAGTGACTCCGAAACAATGCCCGATGAGAGTGCAGAGCTTCTTGAAATGAAACGTCGTTTCACCTTAGTCACTGCTGAAGAGCCAATCCCATCGAGTGATGAAGAGACGAAGGAGCATGCGTCCTTACCAGTCGATGGTATATTTTCAGCTCGAAATCGAATTCATTCAATGACTTTTCTTTATTTCTTTTGTTCTTTCTATTTATTTATTTTTTTAAATCGTCTGTAAAATCCAAAGAAAGTGTCAAAACAATTGAATCTCCCCCCATACAAGAAAATCCACCAGTTAACATTTTACATTCTGACGAGGAAGAAATTGATTCCAATCAATTAACACCGACAGATGATACCGAACCCAAGGACATTGAAGTTGACGAAGAATTAATAAGCGAGGAAGAAGAATTGATTTCCTCTGAAGGTCATGACTACGACAGTGAATCATCTGACGTCGATGATTCAGATTTACTGAAAAGATTAGACGAAAAATATGGAAAATTACCACCACCAAGCGACGAAGACGATCCCGAAGATGGTGTTGAAGATGAGGACATCGATCCCACATGGACAAGTATTTAAGTTCCGAAATAAAAATCAATTCCAACTAACCTCATTATGGTCATTAGTATTTTCTTTTTTTTTTTTTAAATTTAAGTATATAATCCAATGAATGACTATCGAATTCAAAGGCATAAATAATTCAACAAAAACTAAACGTACATTGTTCATTTCGATGTGTCCTAACTTAACAATTCAATTTCCCATTCATTTTCATTTAGAAATAGATCGTTCTGGTCCCGCGTCATTTCCATCCGATGATCACGTAATAGATGATGAAATTCGACAAGCAAATGAACAGCTTGCGGAGGTAAATAAATCATTTTCCACAATTTATACATGATTACCGATTATTATACCGAATTTCTACCCATTTTTATTTTCTTTCAATGCTTTAAAAAGGAGTTTGAATTTTAATAGTTCTAGATAACCATAAAAACTGTTTTCTCTCATTTAATATGTATCCCATTACTTATCCAAATTTATTTGGGTTACTTTACTTGCATATTTTTCGTTTGCATGTTTGGCTTCGGTATCTTTTGCATTGATTTCAAGTTTTCACACAGTTTTGTTAGTTTTTTTTTAAATAATAATAATGAACACGATACACATACAATTCAATTGATTTTTGGCATTTCTGACCTGTAGCATAAGTTGAACATATTTTTATACATTTTATTTTGTTCTTGTGAATCAAGAAAATATCAAACCTTTTTCTACTTAAACATTTATCAATTAAAAAAAACCGTTGCAATTTGAAAAAATATTTTGTTTGTTTGGAGCACCCACATAATGATATAATCCAAACGAATGGAGTAATTTCGTTTTGTTACATAGCCAGTGTTTTTTCGAACTAATCAAAATATTTAACGACGATTTGTTGTATTTTTATGTTTGTTTGCCATGCTTTTTAATGTGCGTGTCACAGGATCCTCTTTCCGCTTTAACACTATTCGAACAAATCCGTCAAACATATCCAGCATCAACAGCTGCTCAGTATGGCATCGCCAAGGCATTAGACAGTCTGGCCGATTTAAAACGTAGCAACAGTCTACTACGACGTGCCATTGAAGAATATGAAAAATATATCAATATGGGTGACAAACTAAACGATACAGAGTTTAAAGTGGCTGCCGAACGTTGTATTGAGCGCATGAGATTTATAGGTAATGTACGCATTTTGATGCGCATACATACAGATTGCACTTGATTTCGCGCAACTTTTATTGTTAATGCATTTTAGTTTTTAGGCGAGCACACCAAAGCAGTTCCGGTTCATGAAAAGCTTATCGAACGTTTCGATGACAATCCATACTATCGTAATCAATTGGCGGTTACATATTTGCTCGTGAATAGGTAAATAAAATGTGTGATCGAACGGGATCGATGTCAGTGATTAATCAGTTAATATCAATTAGATTGGCTGATGCAAAATATGTATTGCATATGACTCTACAGCGATGGCGTGACGATGGTTTTGCTGCCGTTCATTATGGTTTTGTATTAAAAAATTTGGACCATAATTTAGAGCATGCGGTGATATTTTTGCGACAGGGCATTGAGTCGGGTGCAAATGGAACTAGCGATGGTCGATTTTATTTCAATCTGGGCGATGCACTCATTCGACTCGGTCGACAAGATGAAGCCAAAGAAATATTCAAAGAGGCTGCGAAAAAGAAACTTTTTCCATCTGAATATCAACGATCACTTTATAATTTAAAACATTTAAAGGCGCAACCATTTTGGACACTAGCTGAGACAGGATACAAACATGAGTTTCAAACTCTTGAGCAAAATTGGAAGAGAATTCGTGATGAAGGTTTGAATCTTCTAAATGACATTGGCTACTTTTCAGATGAAGCGGAAAATCTACGCGATACAGGAGTTTGGAAACAATTTGAATTGTTTGCCCGTGGCAAGCGAAATGATGAAAATTGCAAACGAGCATCGTTCACGTGTAAGCTCATTGAAACATTTCCAGCTGCTCGATTTTGTAAGCGTGGCCAAGTGAAATTCAGCGTAATGCATCCGAATACTCATGTCTGGCCACATTGTGGACCAACAAATTGTCGATTAAGAGCACATTTGGCACTCAAAACAGCCGATAAAACATCAATTCGTGTTGCGACCGAAACAAAGTTGGTATCAAAAACAATTTTTATAAAAAATGAACAACATATGAAACCGTTTAGTTGACTCGTTCGCATTTTTTCAACATAGAACTAAAAGAAATTGTTTTTTTCTTCATTTTTCAGAACTTGGATGGAAGGTAAAATCATGGTATTTGATGACAGTTTTGAACATGAGGTATGGCACAATGGCACAACAAATCGATTAATATTAATTGTTGATGTTTGGCACCCCGAAATATCAGCCGACGAGAAGAAAACACTGGTTCCTATTTAGTGCTAAATTATGTTCCGTTTGTTCATCTTTTATTAAGCATCTAGATAATTCTCATTTATATTTTGTGTTTCTTATTTTAAGTGCCTTCCCATTTTAAATTGGATACTTAATTGTAATCTATTGTTTTTAAATATAGAGAGTCTCATTTAACTTTTTTTTACTCAGATAATTTTAAAAGAAACTGTAAAATTTGCCAAAGAAAACTTTCTGTGGAACTAAAACAAGAATGAAATTTCAATAAATTAGACGTCATTTTGGGAAATTGTTTATTATTTTAAATTATTCATATTGCTTCTGACCAAGGGGGTGCAATTGAAGTCATTAAAAAAATAACAGCCAAAAAGCGTTGGAAGATTCAAAGAAGGTAAGTGGTTTTATCTTTCTGAATAAAAAGGGGTCTTTACAACTACACAAAACTACGTGAATTATTTGAGAAAAATTAGATTTTTTCCACAATATTCTTGAATTGGAAAAATATTGGTTCAAAATTATTACCAGTTTTTAAGAAACAAAACAAAAAAAACACTTGTTGAACACACGTTTTTAATATTTAAATAAAAGAATTATGAGCAAAAAATAGAAATTATTTTGAACGATTGATAAAGAAGTCGAGATTTGTAATTTGTGTTTTGAATATGGTTCAATTTGTTTTGACGTGCTGATTACAATTTGAAATTATGCGTTTGATTGATAATTAAACAGCCTTCTTTAGGTTTAATTAATTGAAAGTACATTCAAATGGATGAATAAACAAATGCTTTTTTATTGGCAAGTGTGATGAGATTAGATTTCCGAACGAATAATATTACATTTAAAAAAATTACAATCTCTATGTTAATACAGCATTTGAATAACTTCAAAAAATTTAACATACTCGGCATGTGTGCAACGACATAAAAAAATCAAGAAGATTAATGTTTATGTGTGAAGTAGTTTTAAGTAGTGTAGATATGAATGTCCAAGAATGAAAGTGAGTCTTCTCCTGAGAACATAGAAATGTGTAACAAA